GCTGATCTTAATTTTATCCTTATTCAAATGAATAATTAATAACAGTTAAAAGGAAATAAAAAGTGGTATGTGTAAAAGTCAGGGGAAATTCTGTTTTGAACTAAATTGTGTTCCCCCCCCCAAAATATTCATGTTATTCTTTAACCCCCTGTATCTCCGAATGTGACTATATTTGAAGATAGAGCATTTAAAGAGGTAATTAAGTTCAAAAAAGTCTTTTAGTGTGGGCCCTAATAAAATCTGATTGGTGTCCTCATGAGAAGAAAAAATTTGGACTCACAAGAGACACCAGGGGCTTGCATGAACACAGGATAACTTTGTGAGGAAGCATTAGAACAGGGACCATCTCTCTCTAAAGCAAGGAGAGAGGCCTCAAGAGAAACCAAAAGTGTGGGAAAATAAATGCCTTTGTTTAAGCCTTGCAGTCTGTTGTATTTTGTAACAGCAGGTTTAAGAAACTAATATGCTAAAATGATGAATATGTCCACCATTCTATTCAACTTAAGAAGCATGTATAGCAATGTAGAAGGAGATACACTGTGGGTCCTGGAGCAATACATCTCAACTGATGAAATGTAGAAAATCCAGCCTCCTGATGGGAGGTGGGTCATGCGGAGTTTGAAAAAGCCACGAAAAATGATTTCAGATTTTATTCTCTCCCCACTTAGAAACATTGTCTTCGATTCAACTATGTGCAAGTTGTGTCACTCCTTCTCTTAGTCACTCAACTGATTCTATTCACACTTTCATAGCGAGTTCATATACAGTTTCACCCACTAGAATATAAACATTATCACTAGGAATAATACTGGAACTGACTCTATTCATTCACTTCTATTTACATGCAAAATTTGAGACCAATTTATCATCTACTTGCCCTCTCTTCTAGCTTATAAATTATCCATACTATGAAAAGGCACAGCTGTGACAGTTCCAAGTTCCAGGTGTCCACTATGTTCTCATCCATGCCAAGCATTAACAACATGTTACATTCAGTCCTAGAGACAGCTGGGTTTCAGGAAGAGGTAACATGTTTCATTATCTTACTCTATTGTCCAAGACAAATGTGCTATTGTATTATGTGTAAAATGTCATCTTTGAAGTCCATTAAGCTTATGTTGTGAGGTAAGCCATCTGGAAAATACTTATAAGCCAGTTTATTGCTTTTTCCATTAAGCCTACATGACAGCTGCTAATAACTATGTGGTGTAAATGATAGACACTCTGAAGCTACCCAGGTTAGCTGCTACCTCCAATGATGATTAGCTAGTATGTAAGTTACTTAGCTTCTCTGATATGTTTGTCTTATCTGTAAAATTAAGATAGTAATGCATGCTGCACAGGGGATGAGGATTAAATAAAATAATATTTGTAAAGCACTTGGAACAGTGTAGACAATAAATGTAATGTAATGTCTCCCCTCTTTTAAATATAGAGGATATTTAATATTCTTTACCCAAATGATATTAGGTAATCCAATAATATTTGGAAACTAGAAGTTCGCTGAGCATCCATGTAATTTTCTTTGAATTTCAGAGGACAAAATGTTTTGGAAGATTAAGTTTGAAACTTCCTCAGGAATTCTCGGTCTGGAGTGGATTAGGACCACCGAGAAATGCTTAGTAGGGAAGCGCTGTCCGTGGTGCTAGTAATCGTGCGTACCCCTGGTAACATTTCCCCCACCCGAAGTTCTTTTCTAATCAACTTGCTTAGCGAAGCTCACATGTCTCTCTCACGGTAGCATCTTAGTCATCCTGCCACTGAGATTTCACCTTTTCTTACCACCTTTTATCTATGTCCCCATTGCCAAGAAAAAGTATCTTCCATCTTTTATCACCTCCAAATAGTGTTTATTTTTCAAACACTTTGTCTATGCCTACCACTTAAGAAGATGGCTCACAAATTGGCTCAAGGTATCCCTGGTGGTGGCTCAGTGGATTGAGTGTCAGCCTGCAAACCAAAGGGTTGCTGGTTCAATTCCTAGTCTAGGGCACATGCCTGGGTTACAGGCCAGGTCCCCAGTAGGGGGGTGTGAGAGAGGCAATCACACATTGGTGTTTCCCTCTTTCTCCCTAACTCTCCCTCTCTAAAAAATAGTTAAATAAATAAACTAAATCTTTTTTAAAAATAAAAAATGGCTCAAGCTATCTTTTCCTAACCTTTTTGTTAAGTTTCAGGGAAATACAAGGCAATAATGCAGGAAACAGTTAATTTACAATACATTCTTTTTTAAAGATTTTATTTATTTATTTTAAGAGAAAGGGGAAGGGAAGGAGAAAGAGCAAAAGAGGAACATCACCTACAAAGGAGTTCCCATAAGACTGTCAGCTGATTTCTCAAAGGAGACCTTGCAGGCAAGAAGGGGCTGGCAAGAAGTATTCCAAGTCATGAAAGGCAAGGACCTACACCCAAGATTGCTCTATCCAGCAAAGCTTCCATTTAGAATGGAAGGGCAGATAAAGTGCTTCTCGAATAAGGTCAAGTTAAAGGAGTTCATCATCACTAAGCCCTTATTATATGATATGTTAAAGGGACTTATCTAAGAAAAAGAAGATAAAAATATGAACAGTGAAAGGGCAGCAAACTCACAGTTATTAACAACCACACCTAAAACAAAAGCAAACTAAGTGGACAGCTAGATCAGGAGCAAAGCCACAGAAATGGAGACTACATGGAGGGTTAGCAACAGGGGAGTGGGAGAAGGAGAGGGGGGAGAAGGTACAGAGAATACGTAGCATAGATGGTGGGGAGAAAATAGACAGGGGGAGGGCAAGAGTAGTGTGGGAAATGTAGAAGCTAAAGAACTTATGACACATGGACATGAACTAAAGGGGGAAATATGAGCAGGAAGGGGTGTGCAGGGTGGAAGGGAATGAAGGTGGTAAATGGGACAACTGTAATGGCATAATCAACAAAATACATTATAAAAATAAAAAAGTAAAAATTAAAAAAAAAAAAAGAGGAATGCCAATGTGTGGTTGCCTCTTAGGTGCCACCACTAGGGACCTGGCCTGCAACCCAGACATGTGCCCTGACTGGGAAGCAAACCAACAACCCTTTGGTTCACAGGCAACTGATTTCTCTCTCCCTCTCTCTCTTCTCCCCTTCCTCTCTCTCTAAAGTCAATAAACAGAGTCTCAGGTAAGGATAAAAATAATAAAATAAACTAAACAGGTACCTAAGAACTGTGGGTGGGGTGAGAGAGAAAAAACTGGTTACTAATACTGCCTCCTTCCCTTCCTCATCCAAGTGGATTTTTACTCTGTTAAAAGTCAGTCAGTATATCTTCAGCCCTAAACACCACTTCAATGGGCCTTCCTTTCTTTAAAGAGCTCTTCTTCATTCTACAGTGGTTCGAGAGGAGAGGAATCCAAGATAAGTCATGCTAGAAGAACATATGCAATTTCTCATTTGTAAGTAAGCAAGCAATTGCCCTTCCTTTAAAAGTTTTCCTCCTTGGCACTCTGAACCAAAAATGATGTGGTAAATAAAAACTATTCAGTGTTAGAAGAGACCCACTTTCATGTAGTTCCTCACCAAAATTTTTAGGAAACAAGACATGAAACTTTTGTTTCTCTTCCTATTTCAGTCAACCATCAATTATAATTTTTAAATCTTTAATGCAATGCATATGTTAATTCAAACTCACCTTGGAAGATTAGGAAGAATAGCACTTTGCCTTTAAACCTTTGGAAAAGGATTTAATGACAGGTTCAGGCTGTTTAATTTCAGGGCCAGCACCACACCTCTGTTTTATTATGTTTCATTACTATTGGATTAATGTCCTTTATTACTCATGACAAACAAAAATAAAATACTTGCTGAGGTGGGTTTTAATAGGTAAGAGTGCAAACAAAAATAAACTGTTCAAATATCATGAATGTGGGATCTCAGATTCTTAAAATATCTATTTATATTTTAAGTATCTAATGTGCACCAGCTCTCCACTCTCAATCTCAAACTAGTTTTTTTTTTTTAAAGAATTGTACCATAATTCAAAGATGGAAAAAGTAAGAAGCACATTCAACATAGGATTCTCGGGATTTTTCACTGAAACTGATTTTTGACTGATTCCAGTAGGAAGACACATCCAAAAGAAAACTGTAAGAAATGAAGCTAGGTAAAGTTCAAGTACTACCTGAGAAGGAGGAATAAATTTTACTTGAATGACAGATGCAGAGCTGTCACTTTCGGACATATTAAGAGGGGCAGAGTGATTTTAAATGCCTGCTTCTCAGCCATGGATTCTACAAGGAGCAACTAATGTTTTCGGCGTGAAAACAATAGGCCCAGCTAGGGCTGAAGGAATAAAATTCCCCTGCACCGCCTGCTGGAGGGAGTTAAGTACAAGGATTCTACACTTTCAGAAACTTAGCCAAGACTTTGCTGGCGACCGAGCGCCTAGCACCGTGGCCTCGGCGCTCCCGGAGTCTGGCGCATGCGTCCCAACAACGTCGGGCTCGCTCACCCCGCCCCTCCCTTGTCCATACTCAGCTATAGCGTCATCTGCTGACCCCGCCTCCTGGCCCGCCCGCTGCAGTTTGCCGGAGCCCGCCGGCCGGACAGCGGGAGGAGCCTAAGGGGGTGGGGAGAGCCCAGCCCGGCTGCCAAACTGGAACCCGTTTCAGTCCTTGCCGGCTTCTCAGTCCCCCGGAGTGGAGCTCCTCAGTGAATTGAGGACCTTGCAACGCGCGCCTGCACTCTGCAGCCGGAGCCCCTGTGCGCTCGGCTGAGGCATCGAGAGGCGCCTTTTCCAGGGAGTGAGGCGGGAGCGTCCACTAATTCGCGGGCGCCGGGAAAAGCCCAATTTAAAGACTGGCCGTTCGGCCTTGGCACCAACCCCCGAGTCGCAGAAGGACGGGGAAGGAGACTGGAACTGAGCGAAGCTTTCCCTGGGAGGACAGAGCGCTCCAGGGCGAGCAGGGGAGGGAAGGAATAGTGTTTTGTAGTTCAAGGCCAGCCGTGGATCATTCGGGCCATTTTTTTCTGGTGGCTGCAAAATGTGGGAAGAGGACAAGATCTTGCTCGGTGGTGGCAGCAGCGATGCGGGTCTGACCAGCGCCGCGGCGCGGGGGCAAGTGGAGACTGTGCGGCAGCTCCTAGAGGCCGGTGCAGATCCCAATGGAGTCAACTGCTTCGGGAGGCGCCCGATCCAGGTAACTGGGGCCCGGGGTCCTCACCAGCAGGGGGCGCACGAACGCGGGGGCGCGGCCTCCGTGGGTCCTGTCTGGGACCTAGGTCTCCTTTGTTTCTCTCTTGCTAGACGCGTGGAGCCCACGTGTACAGCAGCTTTTCATCCACCCAAAACCCTAAAGAAAGGGAATAAAAACCCCACTGCTTCATTTTGGTGGTTTGTTTTGTTTTGTTTTGTTTTGTTTTGTTTTGTTTTGTTTTGTTTTGTCTAATGATGGAAAAAGATCAATATATTCTTTCCCTTCTCAGGATCAGAGAAGCAAGGTGTAGATTCAATTGAGGAGGAAAGTGGAAAGGGAGGTTACTTGGGTAGAACTGTTTTGCCTTCTCTAAAGTCTACTTTCAGTGATACAGATAAATTACAACTTACGCATACTGGACAGTATTTAAGGAATCACACAAAATCATAGCACATGAAAAAAATAAAAGTGAACTTTTAAGCTGCAACATGAAATTCCTTGTATTTTTTCCTGAAATTCCTTGTATTTTTTCCTGCTAAAGGCAAACTGATAAAAGGATTAAGATTCCTAAGCCACAACACTTAGTTTTTTTATCTGATGTAAGCACTATCTCTTGAGTGTTACACAAAAAAAGATGCTTCTATGGATTTCTACTGTTTAATTATCATACCAAATGCCTGTAATACAAAAGCATCCCCACAGCAACTGTTAAGTCCTTTTTAAATGGAAAGGAGTCTTCATAAATAATTAACCTCTTTATGTTAAACTGCATTTATTCAATATGTTTACTATTCCTGCTTTAATTAGTACTGATATATTTTTAATTCCTTTAAAATCTAAGGCAATGTTTTCATGCTTTACTGTTGACTGTAATGATCATATTTAGTACTCACCTCACCATCACCTTCCAGAACCAAGCTTTTGTTAAGGAATCTTGTCAATATTGTAGATTTTAAAGAAAAGATGTATTCATTCCTTCTGAATTCTTATATAAATATTACAAGAAATGAGGGATGGTTCAAAGCAGCAAAAAGTATGGTAAAGTACTTAAAGACTTCAAACTATACTAACAGTTGTATAAATAGGTTTTACTTATCATTTTAATTTACCACTTTCTGAGATATGAAGAACCACTTTCCCCCTTCTCTAGAGGTGAAACCTGTATATCACCAGTAGGAATGATAACATATATTGGTTTTTAAGGAAGGAAATGGATGCTTCTAATATTATGGAAACAAAAATTTTAGTATACTGTCTTTCAATTACATAGTGCATTTTAAAATGCAGTCACAAGAACAAATAATTACATTTTGGATGTTTAATTATCAAAACTTGTTTTATTGTTAAAATAATAGAGTAAATGCTTGCATAATGTATATGTATACAAATGGGTACTACACAACTACTGCTCCAAACATCATTTTTCTAAGTTATACATTGTTCTGATTCCACTACTAACATCCAAGTTTTTTTATATAGAAAAACAATTACTATTTAACATTATAAAATCCTATACAATGTATTTATACTGCTTATTTTGATACATTTAATATGTTACCCTCTAAACTTTAGCCCTTTTCCATAAAATTAAGTTAAATATTTAAAATGGTGAACTATTTATTCACAACAAAATTTTTTCATCATCTTAGAAAACAATGTGTGCCTTTCTTTACTTTTTCCCTTATACTTCCAATTTTGGCTCAAGTTGTAGGGCCATATGTTTATAACCACAGCCATATATGACTGAAAAGCAAAAGCCTTTCATGGGGGATTTACTATGGAAAATGAACCTTATTTTAAATTTGTTTCTTATTTTCTCCCCTAAAGCATTAATCTAAATTGTGTATATACATGAGCTGACTGCTACTGTAATAAGGATTTTTAGACCCGGATTATGGCTGGGGAGTGGGGAGAGCAAGGGAAATAATTTAACACTTTAAAAGCCTTTAAACTTAACGCCAATTTTTTCTTTCTTTTTTTTTTCCCACAATGACGACAAGTACTTGATCTTGTCCCGGCATGTTTGGAGAATAAACTGAACCTCAATTAGTAAAGAGCATAACTGGGGCCGGTGAGGGGTCTGGGAAGAGGGAAATGTTGCATCAGCAAATGAAATTTAACCAGACTCTTGAGGCTTATGAGCACCTCTGCATTAAGTAGATACTTCATGAATGGGTATTTCTCTGAAGTGGCTATACCTGTCCTTGCCCGAGCCTGTATCTCGCTCTCCCCTCACCCAGACCCTTCTGTTCTCTCGGCAGGTCATGATGATGGGCAGCACCCACATAGCAGAGCTGCTACTGCTCCACGGCGCGGACCCCAACTGCGCGGACCCCACCACCCTCACCCGGCCCGTGCATGATGCTGCCCGGGAAGGCTTCCTAGACACGCTGGTGGCGCTGCACCGAGCAGGGGCACATCTGGATGTGCGAGATGCCTGGGGCCGCCTGCCCGTGGACCTGGCGGAGCAGCGAGGCCACCTAGACGTGGCTCGGTACCTCTGCGCAGCCGCAGGAGACTGATGGCCGGTGCACCCAGCCGCGCGCGCGAGCAATGACTTTTCTTTTCTTCCCAGTTCCCCATCCCCGATTTAGCCCAATGAAGGCTGCAAACTTGGAGCGGTGGAAAACCTGAAAGCCTTCCTGGGCAACTAGATTCCTCGTGGGAAAGGAGGGGCAGGCCGGAAGTAAATTATTTTTTTCTTCCTGGATCTAACCTTCGACACCCTCCATGAAGCCAAACTCAAAAGAGGTGGGGCAAGAGATTTTCCATGAGATTTTGGAGTATAATGTTGAGTTCCCAGGTTTACTTTAAAGGGTTTTCTGGCGAAAAGTGGCATATGAAGAAGTCCACGAAGGACCCCGAGTGATGGGGGCAGAGCGGGAGGCACCAGTGATTGGCATCCGGAGGGAGGTTGAAATGGTCATCCCACTGACCTTGAAGCAGCCCCGAGTAAGCCCCTACTCCGGGCTTTAGGCCCAGGGGACTAAGGGAAAATATGAAGAGGGAAGACCAGAAGATAATGATGACGGTCCCTGTGGGTTGCAGTAGGCACCCAATGCTTTACTGGCTGTGTGAGCATGTCGCCTGTAAAACCGTATTCAGTGGAAGTCCTTGGAGACAGCGCCACCACCGGATGGTAACGAAAAGAGAAGATGGGAACCACTGCGCTTATTTGCCCTTATATTTTAAAATCTGTGGGTCACGTTGATGCAAGACAGCTCTCAGGAAGGGGCGGGGCACTTGCTGCTTGTTATTCAGTCCAGGAGAGCTTTCTGCATTCCAGCTGTCAGCGAACATTATGAAGGGGTGGGTTGTAGCGGGGGGGAAAAAAGCAAAAAAAAAAACAAAAAAACTATAGCGGTTAACTAACTACTTGCTGTATTTATACGATAGGATACAGAACACCCCTGTAAATCACCACTTGAAAAGACTTCTTGATATTTGGTACATACTTATGTGTTATTCTTCAGTAACAGTCTTAATGGGGAGACTTGAAACAACAAAGTAGGTAACTCGTGGACCTTGGTAAAGTGATGATGAAGAACTATAGCTCTTAAGTGAAGCTACTGTACAGTGTCAACGCCTAGATAACTTTCATCTTTAAACTATTTATTTCTTTGTTAAAATTTCTGTTTCCCTCCCTGGACTGTCTCAGGGGACCAAACTATGAAATATTACAAACGTCTTTTACAAGATCAATGCTCTGAGCCAATAAATTGAATCCAGATAGTTCCCAAAGAGTTACTGAAAAAAAAACAGATTGCATATAAAATTGCTGAAAATATATTATTATGACTTGTGGAATGTCTTAATATTTGCTAAAGATGCACTGCTTTGTGATTTAATTCCCAGTGTTGTTTGATTCATTACAGTATTGAAACAACTGTTACTTCACTGCTTTAATAAAGAAAAGCAATACAGATTGGACTGAAAGATGTGGGTAAATTAGCTTTAAAAAGTATGCTCATGGATTTACCACTAACTCCTGAGAAATGTTAAAGACTCAAAAATTTATAAAAACTGGTTACACATACATTGAAAGATTTACATGTAGTTTGTGTGTTGTGTGAGACAAGAGGGAACAGAGAATTAATTTGAGAGGTTTATAGGAAGAGGTAAATTTTAAAATCTTTACCTTTCTATCAATTCTTTATTCTGCAAATGAATATTACTGGGGAAGCTTAGTTGAGAATCAATATATCTTGTTGGGAGAAATGTGTAAGCATTTATTAACACGTAACTTGTCCCAAGCATACTTTAAAATTCAGTTGTTCATTTAACAGTTGAAATAAGCTGGGAACAGGCAGTGTTTCCTGTATGAGGAAAATGAGAGAAATACCAAGTAGCTTGTCAAAGGTCCCAAGCTATTCATTCCAGGGTTGTGCACAGTAACTGTCTGGCTCCAAAGCTTATGGTTTGACTGGGCTTGGTTGACCCATTGCACTATTCTGTTCTCCAAAATGATTAATAATAAATATAAAGTCAACTAAATTTTTTGAAGCAGAAAATCTTACCAACATTTGTGCAAATCTCACTCCCTGACCTTCATCCCAAGATCTGGAAGTGAAATAAATTCAGAATTCACTTGGCTCATTTTTAGATTTCTTTTCCAGCTGAGGTGATGGATGAAAAAACAAGTATGATTTACTATGAAAGCAAAATCTATTAAAAATTTCCTGTGCTCTAATGGCTAAAATTAGTCATTTCAGATCTAAGGAATGAAACATTCGAAAGGAGAGCCCAAGATCCATGAGACTCCAAGCAGCTTTGGGGAAGTGTCTACATTGGGATGCTTTTGTGGTATTTTATTTCTGTATCATGGTAAACGCAGTGTGGTGTATAAAGCCAAATAATTTATCTCATGAAGCTAGGTAACTGACCATCAGCAAATAAACTAATTTAACTTACACTTAACATTGAGATTCTATATTGCCCTTCCTTTATGGGAAATGTTAAAAACAAACTATCTGTGTGTTAATAGGTAAATCTAGGGTTTTTTTTTACCACCTCTATAATTAGTCTCAATTATTTTAAAAAAGACATGTTTACCTTCCTTTCGTGTTTTATCAGAAGCTGATTACTTTTATAACAGGGAATAATTTCTCCAATGTCAAGACACTGGCACTCTACCAAAAGAACAAGTAAAATTAGTTATCTGCAAAAATTATAGAGCCATCTGAAGAAGCACTCTTACAGATTGCCTTCTGGAGCAAATATAAGAGCCAATGTCATCCAAAGTACAGGAGTCTTATCTTCATTATTAATAATTTAGTTATTTTGTGAAAACCTGAAGAATAAATTTTAGGTTGGTGTAATTTCACAGTGTTCAACTAAGCTAAAAATAATGACAGATAGATAGAACATACTTAAATTTTTTTTCATTAATTATCTGAAGAAGCCACAGAAGTTTAGTCACAATACATTCATTCTCTTTTTTCCCCCACTATTTTTAACCCAGGTAAGAAAGAGCTAATGGATGAAAGAGAACTTAAGACCTGGGTTCCACTATTGGTCCTTCAACTAATTAAATACATGACTTACTAAGCCATACAAAAGGTGGGAGTTGGACTATATGACTTCTAAGTTCCCTACCATCACTAAAGTTTTATCCCTTATGAGTTTGTTGCATACATGGCTGGGGGGGCTGATATCTATTAGTAATAATTTTGCCATGGTATGAGAGGCAAAAAAAGACATATAGAGGAATGGAAAGGAAAGGCACATTTTAAATTCTGGAGCCCTGGGGGGGGAATATCTTTATAAACATCACCTCCCCCAGTTAGTTGAAAAATTACAGAGAAGTTTTGGAAACTGAGACAGAAAAGATGCTTTGTAAAGCCAGTACTTAGTTTAATTTTAAGGTCTTTCTCACCTCCTCTTACCTCTGATTTTTCCTAATGCTTTTTACATTTCTCTCATACCACTCACAGCCACTAAAAGAATGTTTCTTGAAGTGAGATAAGCAGGTAGATCCAGTATATTCAGAAAACAAAGCTGAAGCAGGTAGTTACAAACTAAGGTAAGTGCTCCGAACAAAGAGGTGGTCTTTAAGCGAGCATGCTCTAACAAAGGATTCTGACCCAAATGGAGTTGGTGTGGGAATCGGAACCTAAAGAAAAGGTTGGAGATCTTAGAGGAAACAGAAAGTACAAAGTCAAACGAATGCTAAAATATGTAGAAGAAGTCATTAGAGGATGAGTAACTCTCTGTAAACAGCTGCCATGGACTTTACACACCCATTTCAAAAGGGTGGGGAGTTTCTGGTTTGTTTCCATCCAGTTCTTTGAAACCTTAGGTCCTTAAATTTTGCCGGGGTGGTTGTAACAACCAGATGTTCGGGGAAGAGTTCCATATCACCTAAATGCGTACATGCCAACCATTTCAAAAGGGCAGAAAATGAGGTAAAAAGAAAGCAACAACAGGAATAAAGGAACAGCGAGCGTGGTAGTGTATTATGGAACATGAGTCAATAGTTCAGCAGAATGAATCAAACAAACAAAACCAAAACAAACTGTATATAGTCCACAGACAGGTGGGATCTGTGAAATGTTTCCAGGCCTAAAATAATGGGAATCCGCTCATTACCTAATCTCTTGATTTTCTATAAAACTTTTCTCAAACTCAGCTGTTAAAAATAGGATGACTTCTTTCTTGCCCCTTGGGCAAGATTCAGAAGATTTTAATATTATTCCTTGCATAAGGAAAAAATGCTTTACTTTATAGAAATGGTAATTTTTATCACCATCTCTTTATTAATTGTGCACTAAAGAAAAAATGCTTTGAAGCCGGTGCTAATGAAGTTCATGTAACAGACATGGATTACATATTAAGCACACTAATGTAAATCAACATATATGTCAAAACTGAGCACACAACTATGATTTACAAATACGAAGTTTGAAATAAATATAAGCCAACGATCTTGCTGCTAAAAAAATACTATGAGAGATACATCTACATTATTCTCAAAGTTTACAAAGAAACCCAAACAGTTATTAATCCCATTTCCACCTAGAAGAAGCATGGTTTAGGCGCCCAACAGATGTATAGAGTAGGTTCTGGCACAGAAAATATTTTACAACAGAATTAACTAAAATGTATAATCTATTTAGCTGCCCTGTTATTTGAAAACTTTGTGATAGAGATGTTGCTACTTCCCTTGAATCATTTCGTGTTTGACCTCTGTCATTTTAAACAACTTCTCTCTACTTTCTTATCCTTTCATAAATATCTCAATCTCCTTGCCTTAGATAAAAATTGGGTCTCCCTGAGAATTCCACTTTCTTCTGCACCACATACTACGTACTGGGCTATCAACAACAGAGAGGGATTCAGGACCAGCTCGGGTGGCTTTCCATAGTCCCTAACTAAATACATAAGGATTATTCATTATTCTCCAGGTGGCACTCGTGCCTTAGAAATAATTGCTTTTTGTTTTCTTCATTGGGTTAAGCTATAATTTCAGTATGTTATTCCATATTTTATAATGTCTATAAGACATAACATCTAAGCATAAAACAGTAAGCAAATTTATTCTGTTCACAAACCCACAGATAGCTCAACAGATATTGACAACACATGGAGTTTTCTTCTGAAGGGTAAGTGTTGGAAATACACCCAATTGCTCCTCGTTCCATCTATAAATTATGAATTGCTGGGCTCTACCACCTTTCCTAGGGCACAGTAGTATCCTTTATAGTAACCTGCAATCCCACCCTACATGCAACCCTACTTTCTAATTTCTAAACTGCCTTTGAAATTCAGAGTTACCACTTATGGATCTACTCCAGGAATTACAGGAACCTTTTAATCCATTTAACTACTACCATGAACAACAACAAAAAAATGTTATCCCACCCTGGCTGATGTAGCTCAGTGAATTGAGCACGAGCTGGGAACCAAAGGGTCACTAATTCGATTCCCAGTCAGGGCACGTGCCTAGGTTGCAGGCCAGGTCCCCAGTGGGGGCCACGTGAGAGGCAACCACACATTGATGTTTCTCTCTCTTTCTCCCTCCCTTCCCCTCTCTCTAAAAATAAATAAAATCTTTAAAAAATGTTATCCCCTTTCTAGAAAAAAAAACCTAAATAACATTTAATTTTATATCTGCCCCTAGGTATTTATGATATTTGTACAATGATGGTGTTGTCTCCACCAATCATTTCAGACCTACACACAGAGAAGTGGTTCTCGACCCTGACGCCATGTCAGACTCACTCCTGGAGATATTTTAAGTACGGATTTGCTGACCAACTTCAGGTTATCAGAATTAGAATCTCTATGTCTGGGGCCCCAAATTTCTGAGATTGTTACTTTAATATTCTTGTTCATGGTAAACTTTCAAACAGTACAGAAAATAAACAGAATTAAGTAAAAATCTCCTGAAACCTCTCTAACCCCTCATTCTCACTTCCCAGGGGTAACCACTATTTTTCAAAAATTTTAATTAACCATCCAGAAATATAGGTGCATAAGCAAACACTCTTCCCTCAACATTTAGAAAATGGAAATAGAATCATATTATTTTGCAACTTATTTTCTTCAACTAGTAAGAGATCTTTGACAACTTCCATTATCAGGACAAATACACTTCATTTTTTAAAAGACTGCATAGTTTTTATTTTATGAATGAACCCCAAATTTAAAAACCAGTCTCTTTTCCACAAACATGCAAATTGCTATTTGTTTTTTTGCTACAACATATCATGCTCTAAAGAAACTTTTTTGCATCCTTATATGAGCTATTTATAGCAATTTATAGGAGTAAAATTGCTTATGCTAAGCATACATCTCTCTCACACACACAGAGTTCATCTCTACATTTGTATTTGTGTAAAATCTTTTCATACATGTGAGTCTGTATATACTATATGTACGCATATGTATATCTTCAATACTTACTTATAAATGTGTATATATACAGGGATGAGCAAAAGTAGGTTTACAGTTGTTCCTATGGAAAAAGACATGCAGGTTATAATAATACAAAAATAAACTTTGTGTTTTGAGTACTTACAACTGTAAGCCTACTTTTGTTCACCCCTGTATATTAATATATATTTTTCATAATTTTATGTTAAAAAGAGCAATTGCTAAATCAAAGGGTACACATATCCACGCACAATTTTAACACCATCAAGTTGCCTTCCAAAACAATGGTACCACACTTACAATACTGTGTAGGAGTGACTGTTTCCAGACAACTTTGTCGGTGTCACCACTCCTTTTCATTTTTGCCACACCTATAGATATGTCATTGTTTCTGTTACGTTGCTTTACTGAAATGAAAGTAAGTATCTTTTCATATATTTTTGACCACTTGACTATTTGTATATCCTGTTCTATAAACTTCCCATTACCCGGCTGGTGTAGCTCAGTGGATTGAGCACGGCCCTGCGAACCAAAATACTGTGGTCTGATTCCCCGTCAGGGCACATGCCTGGGTTGCAGGCCAGTTCCCAGCAGGGGATGCACCAGAAGCAACCATACATTGATATTTCTCTCCTTCTCTCCTTCCCTTCCCTTCTAAAGATAAATAAATAAAATTAAAAACAAAAACTTCCCATTATATTGTTTGCTCCTTTTTACTGGGTTATTTTTACTCACTTATGTATTTATTTATATGTTCTAGAAGTTAATCTTTTATTATTTATTAAAAATAGTACTTAAATCTTGCTTATGGTGTTATTCTCCCTTATACTTTTGGGGTTTTCAGTTTGATTATGTGTAATGTTAGGGAAGTTTCTCATAGAGTTTTGTTAATCAAGAGACACGTATGAGAAAACTAGTGTCCTGAGGTGGGGGGCAGGGAAGACATAATACAATCTATGTTAAGTAAAATGCCATCTCTTATCTTTGCCTCTGAGAACAATTTGCTGATCCAAAATAGAAAATCATTTTTCCCAATTAAAATCTCAGATCTACAGAGTCATGGTCGGTGTTTTGGGGGTTGTGTGTGTGCATATACGTGTGTTGGTTTGATTGTTTGTTTGTTTTAGGCAAAAGGAAGAGAGCAAAGAAAAGTTCCAACATCAGTGATACTCTGTCTGCAAATATGACTCACTGATCACTCACTCCCTCTGGCCTTCAGTACAACAGAAGACCACAGGCTTATAGTCCAAAGACCTTCATGATTTCAACAATGGCACTTGCTGGCCTGTAAAGTGTTCGAGATTTGAGCCCCTCTGGGTTTCTGTTTTCTCACCTGTAAAATAGGGGTAGCCATCCCAAATTCGAAGAGCCACTGTGAAGATAAAATAAGTAATACATGTGAAAGTGCATATACACAATACTGTTCAGTTCTTATTCAGACCTTTTTTTTGCATAGCACATAGCCGAAAGTTATTTGGAAGTCCAGAAGTATTTGAAATACCACAAATTCATTCCTTTGCTAAAGATTCATCTTCATAATTGTATTTTGCTAATATTAAAATTAGACAGAATTCCCCTGCATACCACAACTAACAAAACACAGGTACTAGGCAGCAGGGGAAAACCGAGGTGGAACTTAAACTTAAAGTTTAAAATGTATAATCATTGAAGGCAGAGCTTACTGTATAATAGTCTTAATCAATCCTCTCACTCAAATGGCATTCCTCTGGAGTGGGCAACTGCCCTTACCCCAGAACAAATTTGGATAGAGGGGAAATGGTTATGGATTAAGCTATACAGGCCCAATCAATACAGACATCCCTGAATTTAAACTTAAGGGAGAAACTGAGGCTCAACAGATCCCTCAGGCATAATGGGATAACATAATGTTTTAATTTTATATGTCAACTTGGGTAGGCTAGGGTACCCAATTGTTTGGTCAAACACCAAGGTAGATGTTGCTGTGAAGGTTAGTTTAGTTTTGTTTTAGATATAATTAACATTTAAATCCACAGACTTTGAATTAAGCAGATTTTCCTCCATAATGTGCATGGGCCTCATCCAATCAGTTGAAGGCCTTAAATGAAAAGTCTGAGGTTCCCTAAGGAAGAAGGGATTCTGTCTCCAGGCTGCCTGATGATTCAAAACTGCAACTTCAACTCTTCCCTGAGTCTCCTGCCTGCCAACCTGTCTTGAAGATTTCAGACTTACCCCCGCCCAATCAGGTCAGCCAACTCCTTAAAACACACACACATACACTATTAGTTCCTCTTCTCTAGAGAACCTTAATCATTTCAAGAGATGTATCCTACAGTTCTTGCGCTCACCCACCCACCACAGTTCATTGGTACAGCTAATCACCCTGCCTGGACCCAGGAAACCCTTAACTCTCTGACATCTCCAGGGCTCTTAAATGCTACTATGCTGAAATTGGGCATCATTTTTCCTCCAGGATGCTTTCTCTGAATTATCCACTCCCTAAATTGCCCCTCATTTGTTGCCATAAAACGAAATACCCTCATTATCACTGTAATTATAATCTCTTCTATGAAGTTTTCTTTGGCGAGTGGTGCATCATTGTGGTGCAAGACAAAACAGGACTTGGCTCCTGTGCAGTTTGCACTCTACTGTGATATAGAAACAACAAACAATTACATAAGATAATTTCTATATGCTAAATGCAATACAAAACAAAACAAAAACAAAACAGGGTGCTATGACGGCCTCTGAAAGAGGAAGAGTCTCTGAGGTGAGAAGGAGCTAACCCGAGAAGAGCCTGAAAGAATAGACATTCGCTCCAGACACGGGAGTAGCAAGTAGCCTTGGCACCGATCGCGGTGTTCCGGGAAATTGAGTCCTGCAGGAGAGCCTAGAGGTGCCTTTGTAAAAAATCTAAAGATGTTTAGAGTGTCTATTTAAGACTGGTCCCTAACTGAGGGGTGGGGTGGAGGAAGCCTGCTGCTAGACCTGGCCAGCCAGATAGGGTTGGATTGTCCAAGCCTCACTCTCCTCCTCCGACTCGTCACCTCCCTCGCTCGGGTTCCCCTTGGCAGCTAGGCCACTAGGCCGGAGCACGTGAAGAAGCCGAGGAGAGGCGGGCCACCTCTTAGGCTCCAAAGCCCGGGCCTAGTCCCACATCCTCTCCTACGAGCCCGGTCGGCCAGGCCTGGCCTCCGGCCCTCGAGGCTCTGGATGGACGAAGACTGCACGCCCGGAGACTGGGGCCCGGGGTCTGCAACGCCCGCCTGGAAGCGGCGTCCTGGGCTCGACTCCCGCCGCCGGGAGCCGGCGAGCCCGCAGGTAAGCTCTACGCTCCCCGAGAGGTGGACCCGGCCAGACTCCGCTCTGGAGCCCGGCTCCTCCGCGTCTTCAGGCCACGACCGTGTCCTCGACACACCCCTACTTTAGGCTGCTTCTGTCCTTCCCTCGCTTTTCCTGCTCCGAGTGGACAGCGCCGGGGGAGCGCAGGGGTGTCCAGAAAGAGAGGACCGCCGATGTGGAAGGAAAGGGGAAAGAGGGAGGAGGGCAGCGAAGGGCCGAGGGAGCGCGGCGAGGACCCGGGCGAGGCGCCGGCCGGGTGTCGGCGGAGGAGGCTGTGCGCGGCTGGGGCCGGAGCCGCAGGACTCGGGGAGAAGGCGGGGTGAGCCGAAGACGCGCGGGAGCAGCCGGTGGGGGAGGGGAGCGCGGGGCAGCAGGAAAGAGGAAGATGCTGAAAGGTTAAAAACGAAAATAAAAAAACTGCCGGGTGAGATGACCAGTTCCCGACCCACCCCTGTGCCCTCGGCAAGGCAGAGAGCGGGGTGAGGAAGGGGCGTCCGACCCAGCGGGACGCCGGGGCTGGGGCCCCGCCGCGCCTACCTGACCCGGGCCCGGGCCCGCCGCTCCCACGCGCCGGCGCCGCGCCGTGTCGAGGAATCGCACCCGCGGCGCGCGGAGGTTTCCCTTCATTTCACTCCTTTCCCATCTAGAAGTAGAGCATAGCGCCATTTCTTTCAAAACTGATATCCAGCCTGCTGAATGGCGGGTAGAGCAATGACGTGATCTTGCTTTTTTTCTTTCTTTTTCTCTTTCTAAATCACCCGGTTTGGAGAAAAGGCAGACCCTGGCCGAGGGGGCGCGAGGAATAAAGCGAGGGAAGCGGGAGCCCGAGCGCCAAGCCGCGGAAGCGCCCCCGTCCGTTCCCGGCGGCGGTCAGGTGACGGGCGCTGAGGGGCGGGCTGCTTGGAGACGGGTCTGTCGTCAGGACCTGGAGCTGTCACCCCGTGGGGCGCCCGCGCCCAGGGTGTGTGTGGAGGGTGGGGGTGGGGGAGCGCGGAGAGGCGGGAAAGAGGCGGTGGGGGAGGGAGAGAAGCGAGGGCTCTGGTCTCGGGCGCGCTCGCCGCCCTCGGACCGCCTTTCCTGCGCGCGCTGAGCGCGGAACGGTCCGGGGACCCGGGGAGACCCGGGCCGAGCGGGCGCGCGCCGGGGACGCGGGTGCGCGCCTTCGGGGCGGTGATGGGCGCCGCCGCCGCGTGTGGGTCTCCGTTTGAAATCGTGGGGAGAGGGGGCGGGCACGGCGCTGCTAACCTCTGATGCCAAGGGGCGGCGCAGCGCCCGCGCAGCACGGCCGCTGCGAGAACATGGTGTATACCTATTTGGTCACGGTGCGGATTCGCCGCGTGTCTGGCCCACCGCGAGTGAGGGCTTTCGTGGTGCAGATCCCGCGGCCCGCGGGCGAGGGTGCCGCGCCGGCTCTTCGGGCCGCGGCGGCCCTGGTGCTGGCGCTGGTGAGGAGCCAGCGCAGAGCGCGGCAGGCGCATCCTGGAAGACCAGGTAGGAGAGGCCTCGAAAAGTCCCGGCGCGGTCCATCGGCCTTTAGGTGGCTTCGGTGGGCGTGATTTTAATGCACAGCTTAATGATCTTCCTGGGTTTGGAGGCTCATTTGAATCTCTCCAGACGGGTTACACCTAAACTTAGAGGTGAGGGTCTGTCGATCTATCGAGCCCGGAGCCCCTTCGCACAACTCCTTCACCCCGTGAAGCTCGGGGGGGAAACGGGAGATTCTAAGCCCACTCCAGAAATGCCCCTGGACTTTCTGGGTGGGACACACACACAGCACACCATGAAATACACAAGGTGTGTTCCTAGGGCACTTGGTGTGGTCCCGGAGGGCAGCATTATTAACGGTCTCGGTTTAGTGGAGGCCGCCTTTTTTCTCCCCAGCCTTCTTGCTGGATCAGCCTTCCCTTCGTCCAGTAACCTCGTGATCTGACTTCGCGAAATAGTAACATTGATCGAAGGATTGCTAACTAGTGAGTGGGAAATTTGCAGTCAGAAGTGGGCTTTAGTAATGAATGGCAGGTAGTGAGTAGCAGATTTACTTGGCGGGACATATTCAAATGTCTCGGGACAAAGGCGAAGGCCCTAACTTTAGCAGAATCATCTCAGGCCACAATTAACACTTTTTACAAAATGAGGCCTACTTCTTGAAAAGTAGGCTTCTAGGGAGTTTTGTCTTCACATCAGATAAATCTTGATACAGTCGGTGTAACTTCCCATGGCCAGAATAAGGGAAAGTATATATAGTTACAAGATGTAGAATCCTATTAGAACTTGGATAATAAATGTAAAAACAATTTAATGAGGTTTCATTTTTGTGACCATTCTTGTTGCATCATTTCCTCTGGAATAAATGTTTTAAAATGAAAAGGCCAGCAGAGGGTAATTAGTTCTTATTGAAATGTTAATAGGCTTTTTGATTCATAAATGTAGAACTTTTACAACTGTCAATGTTAAATTAAGTGCCTCAATTTTATTGGCAAATGTCTACAAAAATTTATAAGGTAAATCACATTTTCTTTTTCATATTATTATGAGAGTTCAGTTTTAAAAGAATTCGTAGCAGAAGCTTATAAGGAATTTCATAGGCTGTTTTCTTAATGCTCTTTTATTCGTAGTAGCAGATGTTGAGACACTATGATATGTTTCTGAGTATCATAGTTAATATTACTCTATATAAAGTTATTTTATTTAAATTATTTTGTACTAGAAAGCTCCAGTAACAAAGAACATTTTTATCTATGTAAATACTATAATTATGTGTTTTCTAGTTTAAGAATACATGATTTAACATTGTGATTACTTTAAGTTGTAGAAAATATTGCATAGTATATGTAACTGTATAAAATGTTAAATATATAAAAATGATATGTTCATTGAAGGAAGCCATTCATTTTTTAGATATAGGTATAAATCAATTTTCAGGAATGATGTATTAAGTTATTTTAAAATTCATTGACTACATGAAAAGCCCAATTCTCAGCAAATGTCTGAAAACAAAACACATGACTTCAAAAGAATAGAATGTATTGAAAATATGTGCAATTCTCCAACCTTATATGTGAAACTATACACATAGACATTTGAAAGTATTAATTATATATGATAAGTAATTATAAATTGGGTAGTTATCCTGGAATTTATGCAATCATTGAGAGCCACAGAGCTAAAAATAACATGTATTAATAACTGAATATTAATGTAAATATGTGAGGTGTTATTATTTTAACATAATTTTAGTTTCTGCAAATACATTCACTATCACTTTATGATTAAAAATCTATATAATAAAATTCCACATTTCTAGTTTCTTATCACTCATGCCTGATGAATCACATTAATTGATTTGTTACTTCTCCCTTGATGTGTTTACAAAATAGTGATATTTTTATGAAATTAAATATCTATTTGTTGACTACTATTTGGAAACTCTTAGGGTTTTTAGGGTTTTCTCAACGTAAGCACTGTAGACTTAGCATAAACCATTATTTGCAGTGGGTGTGTGATCCCCAGCTTGTATTATGTTCTAAGTGAACAATAACCCTTTCAGGAATCATTCACTTCTTAACATTCATTTACTTCTTAATATTCATTTACTACTTTGAGGACTCTCAAATTTTAAAAATTCCATTGTCTTCTAGCATAACAATAATGTAGCCTATTGCTGTCTTTGTCCAGAATACTTTACACGTCTGCTTGTCACATCTTTGTTTCTTGCTACTATCATGGTAAAGTTAAACCATTTTCCCAAAATGGTTATAGTTTTGGGAATTAGAAAAACTCCTGTAAGTACATTGATCCACATCATCTCAAAAATACTATCTTAAGTATTTCAGAAGACTGAACAGCTGGCCCAGTGATTTTACTCTTTTAAAGCTTTTAGTCCTATTTTGAGAAACACACTCTCACTTAGCACCACACTAAAGCTGGCTGTGCCTATACACAATGTAGTCTGTTTTTAAATAACTGGTAAATATCGGATAAATGCATAATTATACCTATTTCCAAGGCACCTGGGAGTTAGGCCTCTGGTTTCAACTCGTGCTTCCCTTCTCTGCAGACTTCAGGCTGGGGCTCTCCCTTCTCCGGGAACTGAGCTGGGGGCTTCCCAGGACCTGAGTGAGTGCACAAAGTGGACAGTGAGATTCAAGCTGCTTGGAGAGACCTCACCCCTCTCACCTCTCCCACCCCACCCCCACCTCCCAGCTCCTACCACCCTCTGGGCCCCAATTCCTGGAGATGATGCGGCGTCCTGAAGATTTAAATTGGCAGGTGGAGTAGGGCTCTCCAGCAAGAGTTTAGACACAGACCCACTTATCACCCCTCTCCACAAACGCATTCCTTCTATAGCCTCTCCTACACCCATTCTTTTTCCACAGGTGATATTCGGTCACAATAACAGTAACTGCAGATCGTGCGTTTTGTGTAGAGCTGAACTCAGAGCTCACTGGGTGGGGACGGAAATGGGGGTAGGCACAGTAAGAGTGAGCCTTGTGGATTCAGAAGTGTGAAGTATGACAGGAGACTTCTCTAGGTCACTTCCCCAGCTTTTTTTCTGGAGAGCAGGGGTCAGAGTGGCTTAGGTACATTTGTGGGGGAAGTGTAGTTCTAAGACTGAAGGTCGTTGTGTGCCCTTCCATTCCAGGTGGCGACCAGAGTGTGGAAAGGCCGAGTCCTCTTTGTTTCTCTGTCTGGGTTGCAAAGTGGTATGGAGAATGGCCCGTATTTTTCCAATGATGTCTCTCAACTGTTTTCTTCTTATACTGAAACTACCTCAGTTAAATAATTCTAATAAAAATCACTCATTAGAATGAAAAACATCTGTATCAGCTTCTATGACAATAAGCCAATCTGTGAAGAAAACCTTGGGGAAAAGGACTTTGTTCAGTAGGGAGAAAGAAAGGTCTTTTTAAAGGTTCTGCTCCATTTCAGAAAATGTCTACCAGTTTGGGACCTCCACATTCATCATATCCTAATTCACAGTATTTCAGTGTGTATTCAGCAATACCATGTGTATTGAAAATTATTGAATTTCCTAGGTATTAAGAGCATTGGTTTTTTGCAAGCAGGGAGTATTGAAGAAAATCTCTACTTTTTAGTGCAGTTATTTATTTCATGGGCCTTAGAATGATTGGTGCAGTTGGGCAGAGCTACATAATGAGGAAGAAGTAATAAGAGGGAAAAAAATAAAACCATCAGTTAAAACATTTTAAATTCCAGTGCCTCAGAGGTCCTTTGAAAAAGAATAAGTTGATTTTTATCTTTATATTATAAATAATGGAATGGCTTTGTTTATAAAAATGTGACCATTTTATTACAACTAGCTCTCAGTTTTCCTCTATTACCTTCAAAAATAAAATCTTAGAATTTATTTAAATGATTACAAAGCGAGTAGGAACTTTTTCTAAGAGAAGAAAGGTTTTGTAGAGGTTAAGAACTATATGAGCAAAGATAGATAATCTCTTGAACAAACTGAAACTAATAAGATTGTGTAGAGTGGTGTAACTATATATACCTTTACTTTCTTAAGTATGGGAAGGCAAAGAAGCAGGCAAAGATTATTAGCAGCATCAGTACCTGGGCTACTATTTATAATACAGATTTCTGGGGCTCACTCCCAAAAAATCTGATGAAGCAGATTTGCTATGGCTCCCAGTAATCAGCGTTTTTAAAAGGCACTTGAAAGAGATTCTGTTACAGGTGGCTCGTTGGAACACCATTGACAAATATGGCCAGTGTGCTTTTAAACTTATTTTTACATCAAGGTC